TGTCTCAGTGCACAAAACTCTACATTCATGTCGAGGCATTGTACGCGATCGTGCCAAATGCCTTTCAGACATGTCAGAAGAGGAAACTGCAGCAGAGCTGAAGCCTCAAGGCGTACCATCTGTGAAGCGATTTATGAGAGGAGATGGTGGCAATCTTATTAAACCCAAACCTACCTTTTTACATTTGCTTTAACAAAACTGCCTTCATCCATCAAAGCTGGATATTTCAACATCGGAGTGAATGTGTACATACCAAATCCGCTCCGTTGTTTTAAATGTCAGCAATTCGGGCATGGGGCTTAGTCCTGTCGTAATTCAGCAATTTGTTCTGCTGCAGTAAGCAGCATGAAGGCACTGATAACATCAAATGTGCAAACTGCAGCGGTGACCACATGTCCTCCTCGAAATCATGCCCCTCTTTTATGACATAGACTAAAATCCTAAAAATCAAATATGCCAATGATATCTCGTTCTCAGAAGCTAAGACACTTTTTGAAAGTCAATCAATCACTCCCACCTCTTCTCTGACCTACTCTGCTGCAGTCTCCTCGTCTGTCAAAGTTGATACTGGATGCCAAACAGCTATAAGCTGGGTGTCCAATGAGCAGACAACATTATATCAAATTGATGCAGACGACACCAGCACTTCATCCAAATCAACTTCCTCAACATCACAAACTGAAACTCTTCCAGAAACAGAAGCTCCCTCAGTCACTATCCCTGATCCTAAAACTCAATCTGAGCCAGTGAATGAAGTAGAAAACAATGCACTACTTTCCAGAAAGGAAAGGAAACAACAAAGAAAAGATCCAAGGTATTTAAACATATTAAGATGCCTTCAGCATTGATAGTCCCTCTGGAGGTTCAAAACCCTTTGAACCTCTTGATATGGAGGTCACTCCATCGCTGCCATTACAGCGTAGAGGACCTTCTCCCCACTCACAATCTCCAATTGAACCCCCATGAGTTCCTCTCCCAATTTAATACAATGGAATTGTAAAGGACTTTGGAACAATTTGAATGATCTTCAGCCCTTTATTCAAGATTTAAAACCATCTGCATTTTGTTTACAAGAAACTTTCCTCAAAACTACAGATAAATTTGATTTAAGACAGTATGATTCTTACCATAGCTTTTCCCCGCCGGATGATAAAGCAACTGGAGGATCTTCTGTTCTGGTAAGGCAGGGCATCATTCACAGTCCTGTTCCTCTCAATACCCCTCTTTAGGCTGTTGCAATGCGGGTAACATTAAATATTGTTTTTATTTTGTGTTCTTTGTATGTACCACCATCATACTCTCCCCGACAGTCTGATCTTCAGGCACTGTATGACCAACTCCCTAAGCCCTGTGTCATCATGGGAGATTTGAATGGTCATAACCCACTTTGGGGTAGTAATGTCACCAACATAAAAGGAAAATGACTAGAGGATTTTTTCTTAAATAACGATTTATGCCTTTTAATGATGGTTCTCACACGTATCTTCATCCTGCAACTGGAACATACTCTTGTCTGGACTTGTCAGTTATAAATTCTGATTTACTTCATGCATTTGAATGGTCAGTCCACGATGACCTCTTTTGAAGTGACCATTTCCCTACCATTTTAAAATCTGTTACACCATCTGATGTTCCTCTATCATCACGATGAAATTTTACTAAAGCCAACTGGGCGTTATTTGAAGTCCTTTGTTCTAACAAACTAAAACCTGAAGTTTTTATTGATGTTCCCGACCCTATACAACTTTTCTCTGATGAACTTACTAAACTAGCTGATGATTGTATTCCGAAGTCTTCCTCAAATCCTCACATACATGTACGTAAACCAGGGTTCAACAATGATTGCAAACTAGCTAGGAAGGCACGGAAAAAAACTGAAACATAATTTTGGCGCCATCCAATGGTCCATAATCTCAATAAATTCAAAATGTAAATGCTAAAACCCGGCGCACTTTCAAACAAAACAAACGCCAATCTTGGCAAAATTATGTATCCAAGATAAATTCACGGACGCCTATGTCCAAGGTATGGAACATGATTCAGAAAATAAAAGGTAAGGGTACCAAATCAAGCATCCACCATCTCAAAGATGGGGATCAATTGTTAAGTGATAAATTAGATATTGCAAATAAACTTGGTGAAACTCTGGCTCAACATTCTTCCTCGTCTAATTATGTCCCTCAATCTCAAAAATACAAAAAGCGGCAGGAAAAGAAACCTTTAAATTCTAATACAAATAACGGGGAAGATTACAATGAGGTCTTTTCCATTCATGAGCTCCAAACTGCACTTGGACAAGCTCATGACACTGCTGCAGGGTCTGATAATATACATTATCAACTCGTAAAACATTTACCGCCATACTGTTTAGAAACCCTTTGGATAATATTTGATAAAATCTTGACGTCAGGAGAATTTCCTTCTTCATGGCGTGAAGCTATAATTGTTCCCATACCTAAGCCTGTGTGTGATCATACTGATCCTTCCAATTATCGACCCATTTCATTGATTAGCTGCGTTTGCAAAACCATAGAACGCATGGTCAATAATAGATTAACCTGGTACTTAGAATCCAATAATTTAATCACAAATATACAATGTGGTTTTCGTAAAAATCGAAGTACCATTGAGCATTTGTTCGATTGGAGTCATTCGTTAAGAATGCAATTATAAACAAGCAACATGCAGTGTCTATCTTTTTCGATCTATAAAAAGCGTATCACACTACATGGAAGTATGGTATTTAAAAGATTTACATGATTTTGGTTTGCGAGGCCGTTTGCCTCAATTTATACCCAAGTTTTTAACTGACAGGCAATTTCAAGTCCGCGTGGGTTCAACCCTGCCTGATTATAATCAGGATCAGGGTGTCCCACAAGGCAGTATTTTGTCTGTCATTTTGTTTAGCATTAAAATCAACAGTTTAGCAAAGGTTTTAAACGATTCAATTGATGGATCGTTGTTTTTGGATGACTTTAATGTGTAAGAACATGCATACGATTGAGAGGCAAATGCAATTGTGTTTAAATAAAATCCAAAAGTGGTGTCTAGAAAATGGCTTTAAATTTTCCAAATCTAAAACTAACTGTATTCATTTTTGCAGAAAATATAAACCTCACAATGACCCAGAACTAATATCAGATAACACCCCCATTAAAGTTGTAAAAGAAGATAAATTTTTGGGTATAATTTTCGATCATCATTTAACCTTTTTACCACATATAAAATACTTAAAGAATAAATGTCTGAAAGCCCTAGATTTGTTAAAAGTTGTCTCTAATTCCAAGTGGGGAGGGATCAGAAAACCCTCCTCAAACTATACAGAGCTCTTATACGCTCTAAACTTGATTACGGCTCCATCATGGTTGGGCTTGTAAGAACAATTAAAACTTATTAGACACCATTCATCACCAAGGCCTGAGGCTTTGTCTTGGAGCCTTCCGAACACTACATATTCACAGTTTGTATGTGGAGGCTGATGAGACATCCCTTAAACACCGACGCATTAAATTATCTTTACAGTTTATCTCTAAATTACGTTCTAGTGAATTCAATCGAGCATATGACTGCGTTTTTAATCCTCTGTACAAACATCTCAACAATAAAAAGACATCTCTTATTCCACCACTTGGAATAAGAATACAACCTAAAGTTAGAGCGGGTGGCTATCAAGAAACTCCATGGTGGTTGGTGGTGGCACATGGTCCTGTGCACAGCGCACAGGTCACCAACCAGGTGAAGTTAAGCCTCACACTGAAGCACACGTAACACATGTGGCGCCTCCTTGGGCATGTGACTTGGGAAAGTGTTCGAAAATGTGCCTCTGTTCACCCAGCAGTGAATGGGTACCCGGTCGTATAAGATAGCAATATGGTTCTTAACTTGCATCTTTGGTTGTATACTCCCAAGGGAGCTGAGAATGACTCTTGAGTGCACATTGATCCAGTGACCGGGGTAATAATAGGGATTTAAGCATGCCCCTGAGTGGTGTGGAAATATGCGCAATTTAAATAGCCTACTATACCATTATAAAGCGATACTGATACGCCCTTTCTCTGTAAACACGGGTATGGTGTTAACAAACCTAGAAACATAATAGGGGCGAACCGGGATTCGAACCCACAATCATAGGTTTCTGGCGTGCCCAAGAGACGCAACTCTGTACCCGTGCCCCCTTTACTTAAGAATGTTATGTATATTCACATTTTTGTTGTTAAAACATCGATTTGCCTAGTCCAACTGATAAATCATTGGTAAATAATTACAATGAAATTCTATACCGATGCGTTGTGAACCTTCATTCTTTGTTTGTAAGAATATTTCCTTCTTCCGTAATATATGAGTATTTATTCCAATGATATGTTGATTTGACCGTCCCAACGTTGGGTAAATATGCAAACAAACATCTAATTCGACGATATCTGACATATTCCCTTTTATTAAATGATCAAGGTGTCGAAGAGATACTGTTAGCCTGTGATATATGTGACTGGTGTCATGAAGTGCTTACCTCATGTATGTTTCACTATTTCAGTGCATGTTTCTCCAGTTACGCAAGACAAGTTAGTCAATGCAAAGCTTCTTAATGGCAAAGTGTCTATGTGATCATTGGAGTGAAGAGTTCTGTTTGTGCATATGCGCAAGCCAATTTTCTCAAGCTTCAAAATGGGGCGGTGGGGTAGCATAGTGGTTAAAGCGTTGGCTCGTCACATTTTTTTACATAATTGTACTGATGCCTACTTGCGGTTTGCGACTACATTTTGATTCTGCGCATAACCATTTTCTGGTATATATATTTGTGAGTATCATTAAAAAAACATTGACGTCCATGCATCCTATATAATATGAGTATATATTAAGTCCTATTTGAAACATTTAGACAAATATTGTTTTGAAAATGTAAAATAAAAACTCTTTTGTAAACTATTATAACGAATGAGGCATGTACTTTGTAGCTCTTCTGGATGTAACCTGAACTGTCTAATCGAGGAAAACAAGCAAAACGTTGGAAAATATTTATTTTCTCACATACATGTACCACATACATGCAAACTGTGATGGCGCCATTGCGTCTTGTGTTTTTAGAGAACTTCAGTTGAATAAATTCATGGCAGGGACTATTGGATCAGGGGCGGACTACCCAATCATAAATGGAAGTAGAACATTTGCACTTGCAGTGGTTTCGGAAGCGTCGTTGAAATATGACTGGTGTTGAAAACAGCCATGCCAATAGCTTACGTAGTCCTTCGGGACAGATCACCAATAAGGGAGCATTTTGTTTTTGAAGCGATTACTCAGCCTCGAAGAAGCCTCTTCAAAGTGGAATCAGAAGCTGAAAATTAACAGAATCACGTCTCATTTCATTTATGGTTGACAGATATACAATTTTCAATTGCTACACATCTTACTTTAAAGACGAATACTGTAAATCGTGAAATTAATGCGTCTCCAAAAGAATGCGACCACTGGACCCTAGCCAAAAATGCGACTCAATATGAATGCGACACCCCCTCCTCTCAAGCATCAGGGGATTTCTATCTAAAGCTGTCCTCAGTCAGGTTTAGAATCCTCACCTTAATCCAACCATACATTAATCCAATCACACACCAAAGCTTAAACGTGCGGCTTAAATGTACGAATGTAATGTACGACATGCGAAATCTCACTAATCTTAATCTAACCCTTTTTCTGCATTCTTATCAAACACTTATTCAGCATTCAATCCAACTTCAACCTAGGGGTATTCATCGCGTGGACGTTGCGGGAGGGGGATGCCCAATCCTAACTCAGGTTCAGTGTTAAATCTCGTTAAATATTTCACACCTATATGATATGATATCGGAAAACTCGTCAGGCGAACCCTGATCACGTCTTAACTGCCGAATCTAACTGAAGTATCAGTGTGTTCGTGAACCAGTGCCGTGGCTTTTTATTGAAGCGATTCGGCTCAATTTCTTAACCATGTCGATTCGGAAATTTTTGATCTAAACGAAGGAAATATATGTAGAATAGTTCTGTCTTTATTACATTCGTTACTATTCGAGATACAGAAACAGATACGCATCTCTGGCTGCTTTGTTAGCTTGTTCCCAACATTTGAAGGACAAAGTGACCATTGGCTTAGCGGTAAGTGACCATTTGATTTAAAACCATCTTTACATATCCTAGGAATATCATGCTTTACGCGAAAAAACGATACACTTGACAATGAAGTATATTATGCAAATGATTACATACTTCGTCGGAACAAAAATGTCACATGTCATGTCCCAACATGCAATTCCAAAAAATGGAAAAAAGTTCAGGATAATATCTTTTGCGGACAGCGTGTAACGCAGTTTGATACAATACACTATTGCTCAAAACAGACCTGAGCACGAAATCTCCCGTTCGCGATCGACCAACTTCGTTTTGTGTATGGTAATCTATAAATACATTTTCGTATGACAAGTGAATGAATGATATGACGAATTCGACGAAAGATCGGACAATGTTAAATACGTCAGTGTCTGAATACATGGAAACATCATTGATGTTCAGCAAGACGACCCAAAGCTTTACTCATAAGGCCAGCACACAGCCCCCTGAAAACCTAGTGTCCGTACGTTGCAGTGCTGAGACTAGGTAAACCCTGTACACATTCCAACACTTACAGCAGTTTGCTTCATCTTCCCAACCGGGGCAGTCGCTCTCGTTGTCACAGACCCAAGTTAAGGATATACAACGGTTGGCTCCCTCTGTCTGGCACTGGAACGTATTGGGCGAGCACGTCTCAGGTCCTTAAAAGAAATATATGTTTTCATAAAGTAATCACAATCATGCAGGGCTTAGGGAGCCACTTGGGAACTTGGGATGCAAGAGTGACATTTCGGAAGCGAGGTCTGCATATTTGCCATGTTTTTCCTGAATCTTGTCAATCACAATAGTGTCAAAAGGGGACATAAAATTCAATGATATAAATAATTTCATTGGATTTATCCAAAAGGACAAGATCAGGTTTGTTGGCCTGGATACGTCTGAGGCTGTAAATGGGCCTATTCCCAAGAATTTTGTATTTATCATTTTCCATGGCGCCCTCTACATATTCCGGGTCGCACCATGGGTGGACCTCTGTGTCAAAACCACAAGCATGGCGAAGACGCTAATAAAATGATCGAGTTCCACCATCATGTCGTTTAAGATACTGTGTTTGTGCCAGAGCTGGGCATCCACTGACAATGTGTTGGACAGTCTCATTAAATTCATTGTGTAATCTACATATCATATTTACATTTTGATGCAAAATCACACATTGACGGTTTCGAGTGGGAAGTGACTGGTCCTGAGCAGCAAACAGAAAGCCTTCTGTTTCACTTTTCAGGCCAGACGACTTCATCCAAGTAAAGGACTCTGCAGGATTGCTGACCTTCTCAACACACTGCACATAAACTCGATGCAGTGGTCGTTCAGATAGCCTCTCCTTTAAAAACTGAGTGTGGGCTGACTTGATATTGCACATCGCTTGGTTGACACTGATTTCTGTACCGTCCAGCAGTACAGAACCATCAACAAAATCAACACCGACATTGAGATTATGTCCCACATCCGTTTTAGAAAACTGTGGAATGCCTTGTTTTCATCATGAGTCTTGACATGCTTCACAAGAGGATCATCAGACAAATAAATGTGTGGAAAAGTGCACAAAACAATTTTATCATGAACAGCCCCAACGTTAATCAAACCACGTCCTCCCATAATGATTGGTTAATATGAGCGATTGAGGGAAGAGCGGGGGTGGTGGGATCTATTCTCTGACATGATTCTTCGTGTGAGGGTGTCAGTCCCCTGAATTTCTTGTTTCGTCCAATCAACAACACCAAAAGAATATGAAAGGACGGGTACAGCATAAGTATTTGTGGCTTTTACTGTATTGCGAGCGTTCAGCTCTGATCTCCAGATTTTCTTAAGTCTACATTTGTACTCTTCCCGAAGTCTTTCTTGATATGGGCATTATTATTATCAGTATTATTATTGTTATTATAATAATATATTCAACTAAAACACGAATTGACACGATGGCAGAGAGTGGGAAAAACGCCATGGAAAACGATATACTGACACGGTATTTTCTTCGTCAGAAAACAGGGAGGTATGAATCGAAAAACCGATGTGCAAACTGTATGAATCCGCATAGCGGATTCTTACAAAAGTTTGCACATCGGTTTTTCGACTCATAGCTCAATGAACCGAAATAATACACAGTCAATGCTTATAATTAAATTCGACAACGTAAATCATGTTTTATCTACAATAGTTTAACCAAAAACAGTTAAATATATCAAAACAGACAAAAATTACGAGATTGATAAACATTCCAGGTGTATGAATACATACTGTGGCGTGACATGAATCAGGTGATCGTTTAATTTATGCACATAACTTGACACGCCTACACAGTCAGAAGCCAATCAACGGAGAGTAGGAACAAAACAATGTTTATTGGACCTGTCAATTAAGGCAAGAGGCGAGAAGAACTGCAACAGTCAGACTGTAACGAACCGGAAGAAATATATCAAACTCATAAAAATGAACAGTATGTATACAGTACATACCGCACTCTGCCTCATCTCGGCCATCGCTGCAGTCTCTCTCACCGTCACAGCGCCAGCTGTTCGGCATGCACTGATCCATGTCAGGACACCTGGTCTCGTTGGGGCCGCATGTCTGTCCTATAATATATATATAAAACGTAAACACATGAGAATATCCAGTCACGATTATCCACCGAAACAGATTCAATTGGACATAAAAGGCTAAATAAAGGTGAAGATTATATCAATTAATCACTGAAAATCACTGATGACAGAGAGGAACGAACACTGTACTGAAAGAAACATGAAGACAGGGGAATAGCTTTTGGTGATGGTGCAGTGTAGGTGTAGCAATTTGTTTCTAACGGTGATTTTCAGTGTCCATTTGGGGACTTGGTAGGTACGATGGGTTATATATTACTATATAATAAATAAAAAATAAAATGATATCTTCTTTTTTGACATAAGAGTTACTCTGGTTTTTTACCTTTTGTACGGGGGCGGTCGGGTAGCCTAGTGGTTAAAGCGTTCGCTCGTCACGCCGAAGACCCGGGTTCGATTTCCGACAAAGGGTACAATGTGGGAAGCCTATTTCTTGTGTCCCCCGGCGTGATATTGTTGGAATATTGCTAAAAGTGGCGTTAAACCATACTCACTCACTCACTTTTGTACGAACGCACCAAGCAAGTATGGGCATCTTATATTGTTTAAAGCAAATACATTTACACCTTGGGATATCCGTTTACTGACTGCACCATTTCTGTTTCAGCTAAGTTCATTCTATGACCAAAATTGAAACAGTTTAGACAATCTCCGTATTGCCACCAGGTCACCAATTTATACGAATCAGGTTTTTAGCTCATCTGTCTGTATCTAAGAACAAACATTTACCAACCTGTGAACCTTTTCACTCAGGCGCCGTATTTTCGTTGGCCATTGGAAACAGGAAGGTTTACATGTATAAGGATACACATCCTCAAAATTAACAGCTTCTTTGCTGCTTCTGATATGCTCCAGTTCCTCACAAATAGTTAGGGACAACCCGATGACGTTATGGCATGAGTGCTAAACTATAGTTGTATAAAAGAATCGAGGGGTCCTTTTGTTGAGTTGTATAGCAAGGCAGCGAACTGTATGGAAGTCACAATATGCTCGTCGGCCTATTTTTTGTCGTTTTTCCCTCAGGTGACACCAACGTGCACGATTGTATAGTCCTGAGGAATTATATTTGTGATGACTGTAATGCAGTGTGTCTATTTCTTTCGGTAGCTGTCGTGTTAAGTCATTGAGCTTATAGAGTGAGAGGGTGATCATGAGAAGGGTTAGACGCCACTTTCAGCAATATTCCACTGCAGACGGACGGGCTGGATGGCATTAGAAATAGGATTCACACATTGGTCCGATGCAGGGAATCCCACCGGTTCTTGGGGGTAAAAAGGTAAATTTCAATCACAGTCTATCCCAACGGCCGCTTTTAGATTAAAATGTACATTTTATTAACGGACCTATTTACACAACCGTCACATTCTTTTAATATTGAGTTAAAAAGTATTATAAACGACATATTCTCGTAAATATAAATATAAGCCAGAGAATAACCAGCCTCGATTATTCGCCGGAACAGACTCCAATGGGCGTAAAAGATAAAATAGCGGTGAAAATGGATCCCTAAAATCAGTGATGACACCTGGGGTTCGTGAAAAAGGTCAGCATCTCCTCTCCTGTAGTGAGTGAGTTGGTTTTACGTCGCCTTTTAGCAATATTCTGGCACTATCACGGCTCGGGACACCAGAAATGGGCTTCACAAATAGTACCCATGTGGGGAATCGAACACGGATCTTCGACGTGACGAATGAACGCTTTAACCACTAGGCTAACCGACCGCCCCTGGTGGAACCACAGGGAACATGAAATCTCCCTAAGAAGCAATTGTACTCACTGCATCCCAGACCTTCGTCGCTGCCATCGCTGCAGTCGTAGTCGCCGTCACAGCGCCAACGTTCCGCAAAACATCCGTTTCCGTCAGCACAAGGTATCTCAGATGAACCACAGTCCATTGACTCTGAAAACACATTTTTTTGTACGATTTTTATTTGAAAATATATAATAATTTGATTTTCACCAGTGCGAGAGCGTGAAAACATTGATATCATGAATAATGAGAGGGCTTGGGTACAAGGGATTTACAAATAGATTCCCCTTTCGGAGAAGGGGCTGTGGGGTAGCTTAGTGGGTAAAGCATTCGCTCGTCACGTCGAAACCCAGGTTCGATTCCCGACATGGGTACAATGTGTGAAGCCCATTCCTGGTGTCCCCGCCATGATATTGCTGGAATATTGCTAAAAGCGGCGTAAAACCATACTCACTGAGAGACGTCGGGTAAACCATCGTGTTATAAGGAAAACATACTTTTGCAGTTTATTTCATCGCTTCCATCTGTGCAGTCATCTTCGCCATCACACAAAAATTCATTTAGAATACACTCGTCACCTGTTGCACATGGCCTAGAACCCTGGAGACATGTAGCAACCGGAGCTGAATCATCTGGAAGTACATGTGCGAGAGTTAGGAAATATATATATGTGTTCAAATCTCACAATTCACATTTCCGAAACTTGAAAACAGTATACTTGTTTACTGTACAGTTTCTATCAATTGATAGTTTGTCAAAACTAGCACCATGACATGTACAGAAGCGACTAGAATGGGGATCAGATGGTCAAATGGCTGATAATTACCAAGGGTGATAACCAGACAAGCTAATGATAATTATTGTTTGTTTGTTGTTTAACGCCGCACTCAGCAATATTCCAGCTATATGGCGGCGGTCTGTAAATAATCGAGTCTGGACCAGGCAATCCAGTGATTGACATCATGAGCATCGATCCACGAATTGGGATCGATGACATGCATCAACCAAGTCAGCGAGCCTGACCACCCTATCCCGTTAGCCGCCTTTTACGACAAGCATAGTCGACTTTTATGGCAAGCATGGGTTGCTGAAGACCTAGTCTACCCCGGATCTTCACGGGTCCTAATGATCATGATGGTGGGTCTATGTTGTATAGTATCTGCTGGTTTCACTGTCCTGTACAAGCCGTCGGTATATTTGTTGCTGTTACGTTGCTACTTCTTATTTCGGCTCAACCAAAATATGCGAGTCACTCATTCTGCAGTGTGAGAATAACAGTCTATATATATTTTACATCACACTTGAATAAGACTCTACACGCACTCCCGCTAGCGCAAGCGAGCTGATCTGGTTGGCAAGTTCTGATCGGATCTGTAAATATGTTAGTTAATATTAAGTGATGTAAACATTCTACATTTCACACAAGCACACGCACACACACACACACACGCACACACATATATAAATATATATATACGTAAAGAAATTCAAACAATAATTACACAACAAGGATTGTTCTACATGTTTCGGCTTTATCTATCTTTTATTATCTTCCCTAATATCTTCTTTAAAATATTTTAATATATATAGAGGTTATCACCATTTATCGAGCCTTGGCTGGGCCTAGCGCCCTCGCAAAATTGTTTCGAAATTTATATCTCCAAAGTTGCCAAAAGTTATAAAATGCCTTAGCTACATCACAGTTAGACACTGATTTTCAGTATATTAGACTCTTTTTTTAATAATGATAGCAATTATCCCATTAGTTTTTCCAGATTCCCGATGGTTAATTCTGACTCGATCGCCGAATGTCAAGGGCGACGCCATGTTTGTTTGTAAACACTGAAAGTAGTCCCTACTTGACCTTTGATATTTGCATCTCTATCCGCATATGACCCCAACGGATATCGTTTTTATCCGTTGGCTTTATCCTGCCGAGAAACCTACCCATTATATGATAAATATTAATATCTTTCAATATTTTCCCTGAAGATAAATCTGAAACACGACACATCTGTGTTGTGTAATTATATGGTAGTTTCACAGCGTAGTTTTAGCTACAGTGATTCCGAAAGGCACAATGAAAGGTTTAATAACATAATGACACATACTGATTGGACAATTAGCCTCATCTAGGCCGTTTCGACAGTCGTTCTCCCCGTCACAGCGCCAAGTTGAGTGGACACAGAGGCCATCGCCACAATGAAAGTCTGAGGGGCGACATGGCGACAGTTCTGTGTACAAAATAAACAACAGTGAACGTTACACATATGAACAACTCGGAGAAAAGCTGGGGAGCAAGTTTTATGTTTGTGCAAAGTGGCATCATGTCCCTCCACATATGAACCTAGACTGAATTTAAGCTGATTGTATGAAAAAATAAGGTGAATCATCTACCATATGCTTAAGTACATCACTTATATGCTAATTACCCCCCTGCATCACGTGTACATTATCTCAACCAATCTTGCCAAATATACTGAACCTCAAAAGAAACGTCACCCCAATTAACATTGCATGAAAAGTTGTCATTTAAATATCTGGGTAATTTTTGTCAAAGTTTCTAAAATTTAATATTACCTTGTCTGGACAAAATGAAATTTGATGTTAAAAAACCCAAAGCAGATGACAATAAAACCGATCGCCCAAACGCATCACGGCAACGGCCATGGTAACCCGTGCAAATTGAAATGCACATGCGTTCCCCCATTTCTTGCCCTATAAAAATCCTCCCAGATCGGATAACATTCATTCGTTATTGAATTGCTATCACATGCCAAGATTGACAAGACATCAGCGACACCAAGCCCTTAGACGATTGCAAGCTGGACGAACCGCCCGGCATGTAGCCAATGCATTTCAAGTCCACGTAAGGACCATATACAGGCTCCAACAACGGTACCAGACCACCAACACTACAGATGACCGACCACGTAGTGGAAGACCAAGGGTCACCACCCGACGTCAGGATCGTCAGATTGTGCGACAGCATCTTCAAGATCGCTTTGTTACTGCTGCGGAAGCCGCTCGACAGACCATGGGGACACACCAGCGACCCATACGTGCGGACACCGTGCGTCGACGATTGACGAGCAGACACCTCCACTGTCACAGGCCACACCGAACACCCATTCTGACACCACGTCATCGCCGCACAGCATCAGCATTGGCGCCACCAGCAGTGGAGAAGATTCCTCTTCTCAGACGAGTGCCGTCACTGTATCTCAACAGCAGATGGCAAAGAGAGAGTCTGGCAACGCCGTGGGGAACGTTATTCGGATGTTTGTGTTGTTGAGAGAGACTCGTGGGGTGGTCCGAGCATCATTGTGTGGGGTGGAATTGGTCTTGCACAGAGGGTCGGCCCTGTGGTCTTCCAGAACATAGGTCCAGGGAGAGGCAATGGTGGCACAGCAGCTCGGTACATTGATCAAGTCTTGAGACGACACGTCATACCTCATTTGGCACGTCGCCGCAACCACGAGTTTCAGCATGATAATGCCCGTGCCCATCCTGCGAGAGCAACAAGAGACTTCCTCCAGCAGAGTGGCATCAGAACCATACAGTGGCCTGCCCTCAGTTCCGATTTAAATCCCATTGAGCACCTGTGGGACGAGATTCAAAAACGGCTGAATGACGTCCGACCAAAGCCGACAACTGCTGCTGAACTGCATCAGGCGTTCCTCAGAGTGTGGGCTCAACTGCCTATGGCCTTCATCAACCGCCTCATCCATTCCATGTATCGACGTTGCACGGCAGCCATCAATGCACATGGCGGACACACGAGATACTGACTTTGATGCCATTTTCTCAGAGACTGGTGTTGTGTTTCACTCTAAGAACATTTGACACTTTAATTTCAACCTTGATGATCAGTTTTGCCAAGTTTCATCTTTTTAATATGTCTCAAAGTATGTTTACAGTGTTTGGACAAATAGGTTTCTCATATATCTATCTATGGTGACGTTTCTTTTGCGGTAGAGTATACCAGTGGTAATTATCAGACATGCAATAACACACCAGCAATTATTAAACAAGGCGTCGTAATTATCACACATGTCCCATACGCCATGCGAATATATACATAACGTCAACACCAGATAGTAATCAGTCTCGAGTTTCTGCCGAAATTGATTCCAATAGGCGTAGAAGGCAAACACGTTATGATTTAGAAAAATATATTCATAGATCACCGATAATAAGTAATGGCACCAGTTTTTCGCAAGGGTAAGCACATCCTGTTCTCCCGGTGGTACCCGCCAACCACACAATTTCCAAAACAAAGTAAAAGTGTGCTTGTTGAATTGCCAAACGTTCCAAATAACAGTTGCAATTATCAAACATGTTCCTATACACCAGCTGAAACAAACATCCTAAATAACAGCTGTAATTATCAAACATGTCCCATAACACCATTTAAAACAACCATCCTAGATAAAAGGTCTAATTATCAAACACGTATCTATTTAGCATGTAAAACAACCGTCCGAAATTGGTGTAATTATTTAACGTGTCCCATCCCATTTTCACAATGTCAGTCTTCGACATTTTTTAAATTATTCGAAGTCTGAGAGACCATACAGAAAACCAACCTTTGCAGTCTCTTTCATCGCTGCCATCTGTGCAGTCAGCTTCGCCATCGCACCACCATTCACTTACAATACACTGGTCACCTGATTCACAGTGCCCGGAACCCTGGACACATGTAACATCTGTAGTTGTAGCATCTGGAAGTACATGTGCAGCTTTTTAGAGATAATCATATGTGTGTCCGGTTTTAAGGTTTTATGTGAAGGTTAAAGCACGACTCCGTCGTTAAGGTCGAGGAAGTAAGACAGAGGCAAGAGGGTATCGGCAATGTAAGACCAAGGAGCAAAGCTTTCATTGCCGATACCCGATTGTCGAGGTCTTATTTCCTTGAGTGAGTGAGTGAGTATGGTTTTACGCCGATTATAGCAATATTTCAGCAATATGACGGTGGGGGACACCATACATGGCCTTCACATATTGTACCCATGTCGGGAATCGAACCCGGGTCTTCGGCGTGACGAGCGAACGCTTTAACCACTAGGCTACCCGACCGCCCCTTTATTTCCTTGACCATGACTAAGGAGGAGTGCTTTATCTCACTCATACACCGTCGAAATGCAGGAAATACCAGGAAAATAAGAAAACGTCGAGAAACCGTATAGTGCAACAGTGTGTCGCGGTATAAAAGGAATTCGATCAAAGAGTGCGAGAGAAAAACCACGTGCAGCATGGATCAACTGGATTGATGACATGTAAGATTAAACATCACCCTGCCCGCTGGTTCAGTGGGAGACTAAACAGTAGGTTACAAGATTAAACACGATATGTAAGGTTGCAGGTTCCATTCCCGTCATCCATAATGAAAACTTTCATTTCTTGTCTTCGATTTTAGAACATTGGACGTTTGAAACACCAAGTACAAATTATCATCTACTACTCAACTAATCAGGTCTTACTAGGAAAAAGTAAAACCTCATACCAGGCCTTACTAGGAAAAAGTAAAACATCATACCAGGCCTTACTAAGAAAAAGTAAAACCTCATACCAGGTCTTACTAGGAAAAAGTAAAAACGTCATACCAGATCTTACTAGGAAAAAGTAAAATCTCATACCAGGTCTTACTAGGAAAAAGTAAAACCTCATACCAGGTCTTACTAGGAAAAAGTAAAACGTCATACCAGATCTTACTAGGGAAAAGTAAAATCTCATACCAGGTCTTACTAGGAAAAAGTAAAACCTCATACCAGGTCTTACTAGGAAAAAGTAAAACCTCATACCAGATCTTACTAGGAAAAAGTAAAACCTCATACCAGGTCTTACTAGGAAAAAGTAAAACCTCATACCAGATCTTACTAGGAAAAAGTAAAACCCATACCCGGTCTTACTAGGAAAAAGTTAAACCTCATACCAGATCTTACTAGGAAAAAGTAAAACCTCATACCCGGTCTTACTTGGAAAAAGTAAAACCTCATACCAGGTCTTACTAGGATATAGTAAAACCTCATACCAGATCTTACTAGGAAAAAGTTAAACCAAGAGGTTATTACGTGATAGGAAGATACCTACAATACACAAGTGTCAGTAGGTTTTTAATGGGTATTCATGCACGGAAAATGTACTAGAAATTGACGAGTTTATGTGGAGGCCTAAACAGTTAATATTTCCTCTCATCCAAATATTTATAAATAACTTCAACTCAGAAGACATAATTTGTAACGATATTGGATGTCAGAAGTTACGGTATTTAGGCATTCATTCTGTTTCAGGGGCGGTCGGGTAGCCTAGTGATTAAAGCGTTCGCTCGTCACGCCGAAGACCCGGCTTGGATTCCCGACATGGGTACAATGTGTGAAGCCCATTCTGGTGTCCCCCGCCGTGATATTGCTGGAATATTGCTAAAATTGGCGTAAAACCACTCACTCACTCATCTGTTTAATTATGTTATTAGTGAGAGAATCTGGTTTAACGATGCTTCATATATAGTTTTAGGGGGAGAGCCCGAAGTAATGACACTATTACACGTGTGTTATTTTGGTGAAACTTATAGACACATATATGCTGCTGCAATACCTAGAAAAATAATCAGGAATTCGAATCCCCGATCATACATGTAGGTCTCCGAAGTCCTTAAAGACACAACTCTACACATCGATTTCCTGCGCCACCCTGTACATTTCGTTATACAGCTGTGAAATGTATATGAGGTCGCTCGTGAATGACATGGCGACACCAAATGATAGATGACGTCTGATTCTTCCTTGAAAAGTGATCGCCAGAAAGCCTGATAGAATGGTTTACAATGAATCGTGACTTCATGTGGTCATAGCAAATCCCTTTTTTTCAGGTATTGGAAGGTTGGTTGGTTGGTTGGTTGTTTACCGCCGCACTCAGCAATATTCCAGCTAAATGAAGGCGGTCTGTAAATAATCGAGTCTGGACAAGACAATCCAGTGACTAATATCATGAGCATCGATCCACACACTTGGGATCGAGGACAAGCATCATCCAAGTCAGCGAGCCTGACCACCCGATCCCGTTAGTCGCCTTTTACGGCAAGCATGGGTTGCAGAAGACCTATTCTACTCCGGATCTTCACGGAAATATTGGAAGGAGACATAATGATTCATATCATCAATATAAGTATTATTGGCCGTGTGCGTATTAGTATATCCAGTTCCAGGTTCAGTTTGGAATCAGTTACGACTGTCTTTTTTCACAAATTTGACCTTTTGTAGAAAGTAAACAACATATGAAATATTAATATACGAAAGTGCGACATTTGGCAAACTGTCACGTTATGACAATTACACACTGTCGTTTTGTTTCATCAGCGTGCCTTATTAGAGCACCACATTTAGACATTATGTCAAATCTCACATTTGACATTTTCGACATTTGAAAACAGAATTACTTGTTAAATGTGCTGTGTCTATCAACTGACTGTCTGTCGAAAATAGCGTCGTTGGAAATGCGATGTAAAATAGGTGGGCGATACACCATGACATGTACAGAGGCGACTCGAATGGGGATCAGGTGGTCAAAATGGCTGATAATTACCATAGGAACAGCTCGAGAATCTAACTAGCAGCTAACATAATGGCTAGTCTGTGTTGTATCGTACCCTTGGTTTCATTTTCCTGTACACTACCAGTATATCTGTTGCTGTAACATGGCTACAAGTTATTTCGGCTTAACCCAAATATGGTATCCACTCATTCTCCAGTGTACCCTCAACTAACTGCAATGTAATTCGTCACTTCCATCACCAGTCTTTATCTCCAATAACACATAAATCTGACTGGGATACACACACTTCCGTTTGCGCATGCGAACTGATCTGGTTAGGGTATTTTGCAAGGTTCTGCTAATATTACGTACATATTATCATATTTTATCATCCAAAACTGGCTCCCACAGGAGATATCGCTTGGATTAGATCAAGCGATATCTGCACTATAGATATCGCTGCAATGAAATTACATCACAATGCTTTGCAGACCATTGTGACGTCACTGGTTACCATGACGTCACAATCAAATGACATCACTAATGGCTCTGCTACTGAAGCTGTTAGCAGTACTTTTTACACTGAAGTCATTGCTAATTACTGTTACAAATTGAAAAAGTTGGAAGAATGATGTTGGATGATAAATAAAATCTCACCCTCGTGTCTTTTGATATCAAATATATCAACACTCGTTGATAAAAGTGGCAAAAATCCTCGGCAAGCCTCGGAATTTTTCCACTTTTATCAACTCGAGTTGATATATTTGATATCAAAAGATACTCGGGTGAGATTCTCTATATGTACATGTTCTATATTTCATTATATGTATATACTAATGCAAATATCAATATATATACACCACGTGAATCAGCCATCCGAAACATCAGTTGTAAAAATTAAACATGTGCCTACGCACCGTTTTAACAGTTGCAATTTAGTTGTCAAACATTAGCCTATACACATACACCTAAAATCCAGGTTTCCCATTCTCTCAAATACCTATACACTTGCTAAATCAAGTGTTCTGAAAATCAACATTTCAAATTCAATTATTTGCAAATGAATCTTCATAGCTTAAAATGTAAGTAGTTGTTTACAATGTAACCCTCGCTTTTCGTGGGCCAGTATTACCAAAGAACAATGTACTAATAAGCCCCGTATGCATCTTATTGTATCAGAGGGACCGTATGGCCAACTCCTGTTTGACGCTGCACTTCACAACCTCTCGGTCCTTGGGTTGCCAGCAGCATGCCAGGCTGCTCGTTCACCAACGTGGAAAGCGTTTTAGACATGCATGACTTCAAATATTCCTCCCACGATAAGCTGACATGAGATATAACTGAAAAACTGAAAAAGCTTCCCTAGCCTAAAGCCAACTCACTCACTACCTCTAGTTGTGCCAGCAAGTACTCACGTGCATGAGCTGTGTTACCCAGGACAACTGAAAAAAGACAAAGTTTTAACAGTGCGGCCCTGCTTACAACCATTGTGATCAACAGTACGGGACGAGGATCCTTGTGGTATAACACTTTCGTGTAATTGTATTAAAGGGCGGTAATGTGATCGTGTTGACTCAATGTATGACTATAAAGCGGGGCGCATCATGCCCAGCGTATATGTCACAAGTCAATGTTGCGAAAGTAGACCCGTCAATCACAGTCAAATGAGAAGTTAATTCATTATAATATGTTCATATGCAGTACTGGTTGACAGCGTCCTTAGCAATTGTACAGCTATGTATTTTTGTGACAGAAGATTTCTATTTTCAACACGTTAAAGCAAAAATAATTTTTCAAACATTTTCTGGGATAATTTATTGATTTCGATGGAAGCCCTGGTCGGTTCATCATACGTTGTTTAATGGAGGATGACATCCGACACGATGTCCCTTTTTGGTCTCGTAACAATAAGTTAAACTTTCAACCATTTGTGAGAGAAATTTTCTAGATAATTGTCGTTTCCTTAATTGTTCGTTCCTGGAAATGTGACACGGATAAACTGGTATGCTATGTGAATGCCCAGAGTACCTATGTATTGTTGTTTCCTTCAGGGTCTGTTTAAACAAGGGGTAAGTATAAGGTTGTGACAAAATCAATTCCTGGAAACCAAAATAGGTATTTTATAAGTATTTCATAAGTCTGTGAATTCGAGCTAGCGGTTGATGCCTTTCAAGGTCAAGGTCACAAACATATTCGAATTAGCAAGTTCGAGTTATTATTATTAAGTCGTGACACACACATGTGGTAATAGGTGGTGTACAGAGTTTCTATCTGAGAGGCACACGCCATTCAAAGTATGCCTAGCCTGTGCCTTTAGTGACAGGACAAACGAAGGCGAAATTACATTTATTTATTTATTATCGTTTACTTTAAATGTCATCTCGTAATAGCCTTGCGATTGAAGTTAACTATTCTCTGACAATTGCTATAACTGTCTACGTATTAAATGATGACAAATTAGCTACCGGTAACTAATGTTTTTTTAATGATGAATGAGTCAATGGTTAGTAATTATAGAAAAGAGGACGTCCTGTTACAAAATTATTTCTTCAAATCTAGTAAAATATGTAATATGTATAATTTAACCTTCGGGGCTGAAGACGCAGATGGTGAGATACTAAATCTCTACGTCACACTTTTTATTCACTCAGGTCACGCTGGAACCTTTGATAACTGTTGGGTACTTACTGCTGCTCTGGTGGTGGTAGATAGCTGTTGGTTACTTGCTGCTGCTGTGGTGGTGGTGGTAGATAGCTGTTGGTTACTTGCTGCTGCTGTGGTGGTGGTGGTAGATAGCTGTTGGTTACTTACTGCTGCTGTGGTGGTGGCAGAAAGCTGTTGGTTACTTGCTGCTGCTGTGGTGGTGATAGATAGCTGTTTGGTACTTGCTGCTGCTGTGGTGGTGGCAAATAGCTGTTTGGTACTTGCTGCTGCTGTGGTGGTGGCAGATAGCTGTTTGGTACTTGCTGCTGCTGTGGTGGTGGTAGATAGCTGTTGTTTAATTGTTGCTGCTGTGGTATGAAGCTGTTGGTTACTTGCTGATGCTGCTGTGGTGGTAGATAGCGGTTGGTTACTTGCTGCTGCTGTGGTGGTGATAGATAGCTGTTTGGTACTTGCTGCTGCTGTGGTGGTGGCAGATAGCTGTTTGGTACTTGCTGCTGCTGTGGTGGTGGCAGATAGCTGTTTGGTACTTGCTGCTGCTGTGGTGGTGGCAGATAGCTGTTGGTTAATTGTTGCTGCTGTGGTATGAAGCTGTTGGTTACTTGCTGATACTGCTGTGGTGGTAGATAGCGGTTGGTTACTTGCTGCTGCTGCGAGGATGGTAGATAACGGTTTGGTTCTTGCTGCTTCCTCCATGGTGGTAGATAACTGTTAGCAACTTGCTGACGCTGCTGTGGTGGTGGTAGATAGCGATTTGTTACTTACTGTTGCCGTGGTGGTGGTAGATAGCTGTTGGTTACTTACTGTTGCCGTGGTGGTGGTAGATAGCGGTTGGTGACTTACTGTTGCCGTGGTGGTGGTAGATAGCGGTTGGTTACTTACTGTTGCCGTGGTGGTGGTAGATAGCGGTTGGTTACTTACTGTTGCCGTGGTGGTGGTGGTAGATAGCGGTTGGTTACTTACTGTTGCCGTGGTGGTGGTAGATAGCGGTTGGTTACTTGCTGCTGCTGCCGTGGTGGTGGTATATAGGTATTGGTTACTTGCTGCTGCTGCTGCTGCTCTGGTGGTGGTAGATAGCTGTTGGTTACTTGCTGCTGCTGCTGCGGTAGTGGAAGATAGCTGTTGGTTACTTGCTACTGCTGCTGCGGTGGTGGTAGATAGCTGTTGGTTACTTGCTGCTGCTGCTGCTGTGGTGGTGGTAGATAGCTGTTGGTTACTTGCTGCTGCTGCTGCGGTGATGGTAGATAGCTGTTGGTTACTTGCTGCTGCTGCTGCTGTGGTGGTGGTAGATAGCTGTTGGTTACTTGCTGTTGCCGTGGTGGTGGTAGATAGCGGTTGGTTACTTGCTGCTGCGGCTGCGGTGATGGTAGATAGCGGTTGGTTACTTGCTGCAGCTATGGTGGTGGTAGATAGCTGTTGTTTACTTGCTGCTGCTGCTGCTGTGGTGGTGGTAGATAGCTGTTGGTTACTTGCTACTGCTGCTGCGGTTATGGTGGTAGATAGCTGTTGGTTACTTGCTGCTGCTGCTGCTGCTGTGGTTGTGGTAGTTAGCTTATGATTACTTGCTGCTGCTGCGATGGTGGTAGATGACGGTTGGGTATTTGCTGCTGCTGTAATGGTGGTAGATGACGGTTTGGTACTTACTGTTGCCGTGGTGGTGGTAGATGACGGTTGGGTACTTGCTGTTGCCATGGTGGTGGTGGATAGCGGTTGGGTACTTGCTGCTGCTGTGGTGGTGTTAGATAGCGGTTGGTTACTTGCTGCTGCTGTGGTGGTGGTACATAGCGGTTGGCTACTTGCTGCTGCTGCTGCTGTGATGATGGTAGATAGCTGTTGGTTACTTACTGTTGCCGTGGTTATGATAGTTAACGGTTGGTTACTTACTGTTGCCGTGGTGGTGGTAGATAGCGGTTGGTTACTTACTGTTGCCGTGGTGGTGGTAGATAGCGATATTCTTATCGCAAATCCCCACGAGTTCCTTGTGATAGCCAATGGTTGAAAGCCAATTAGTAGACAGTTATTTTAGCCTCATTAAACAGTTATTACGGACAAAAAAAATTCTGTCACATATTGTTTTGAATCATGCTCAGAAGTAAAGTCCTCACACAAAAGTGAAAAATCTAAGAATAATTATGTAGTAGTTTTTAGTAAATGCTGTTTTGTATTTTATATATGTAACCTGACGTTCGTTGTATATATTTGACGAACAAACATGACAATTAATTATGTACAATTCAAATAAGCAATACTGCACAATCACCGAGTATGGTTTCGTGTTTGCGTTGAAACGGGAAGACTGGTCAAAACTGATATTTTACGTACGCATCACATGACGGTTCATGGAATATTTAAAGTTGGGAAGATGTGTGACATGCTTTGTGAGAGCACGTACGTATACAAGTAGCGGTCATAGTCTTCTCTAATTACACCAATTTACAAATTGACCGGTTGTCTCGCGGACAAAAGCACTCCCAATACATCTATCTCACAAGCTGATTTTAACTGTCCAACCAAGTGTAATGTTTGTTTGTTTACTTTGTTCTTTAACACTGCACTCAGCAATATTCCAGCTATATGATGCCGGTCCTTAAAAAAATCGAGCCTGACCAGACGATCCAGTGATTGACATAATGAGCATCGATCTAGGCAATTGGGATACGATGACATGCATCAATCAAGTCAGTGAGCCTGACCTACCGATCCCGTTATTCGCCTCTTACGACAAGCATAGTCGCCTTTTACCTCCAGCATGGGTTGCTAAAGACCAATTCCAACCCGTAATCTACACGGGAACCACGCATAATGCCAGAAACAGAAGCTGGAAGGATTATGGTCACTACCAATATCATATGAGGGAGCCCCGTCAACATTAAAAGATTTGTTCAAGGACGAACTCAACGATTCTTAAATAGTCCTACAACAATATACGTTCATCTCAATCCAACACAGTTCGTTACATGAACGTAATGAGACAAAGACGAAAAAAATACATCGAAGCCGTACTTTTGGAGCCAGCGTCTTCGGAAGCTCTACACACCGTCAAGCTTCAATTCCGAGTATAAATATCCGAATTTCTTGTTTATTGGATCGTGTACACAAGCATCGTGCGTCAAAACAGCCTAAATGGAAGGCCCGCATCAGCCCCGCCACGTCGTTCTTTCCGCGACAAATACACCCTAGGGCATGATGCTATGACCTACATTTACGCATCTCAATTGGTCCTTTGTCGAGCTGACCGCCTCCGTGGTCTAGTGGTAGAGCGTCCGTCCGGAGAGCGGAAGGTTCGGGGCCCGGCCCCGTCACACCAAAAGACGATAAAGGTGGTACTTCTTGTTACCCTGTCTGGTGCTCGGCATTAAGGGGCTAAAACAAGGACTGCTCGGCTCGGAGTAAGTATACTATGTCCGAGAGGGGTATTCATGTTAAACTGCTGCATGGTATCTAAGTGTGCTAGCACTATGAATCGGCATCAGTCCGGGCTAGTACAAGCAGCAACACACACACAGACACACACGTGCATGAACGTCGCTTTTTAAGTGCAATAATATTGAACGCCACGTTAAACCCCTTTCCACCTCACCTCACCTTTGTCGAGCTCCGTTCTCCATAGACGACCTTGACATTGACATTGACATTGCTTGGTCGTGTTTGCCGTTGTTCGCTGAGTTGTGTCATGAGTGTGCATTGCCTCACCGACACCGCCATGCTGAGGTATTTGGAAATACGAACCCAGTGGGATTCTGTGGTGTGGTGCGGAGAGTGCTCCAGAGCATCTTTATGCGCCCAATCGAGCCTACCACTGTGCTGCATCACAGCGAATGGTGGCAGTGGGGTAGCGTGGTGGTTAAAGCGTTCGCTCGTCACGCCGAAGACCCGGGTTCGATTCCCGACATGGGTACAATGTTTGAGACCCATTTCTGGTGTCCCCAGCCGTGATATTGCTGACATATTGCTAAAAGCGGCGTAGAACCTTATTCACCCATTCCATGTAATCTGTTGCTGATAGCAGCATGTTGTTTGTTCATATTTCATCATGGACCTCCCAAGTTGGAAATTTGAACCAGTGAAATGTGAGACTTATCTTATCACAGGTTCTAGACCGTGCTCAAATAACACGTTCTATCTAAGCTTACCCTTACTTTATAGTACATCGCACAGCGTATTGATTTGATAGAGGCGATGGCGTTTCTGAGTCGTTTCGGTGAAAGTGATAAAAACCACAAATACACAAGCGCACCACATAGCGCTCCTCAGTGCTGACAGTGACCGAGCAACATAATGACAATGTCCTTTCCACAGAGAATTACCCAAGTGGTGAGACTTTAATGCACCTGAAGGTGTTTTCCCTCAATGTGTGTCGAATGAGATCGAAACTTATATGTCCCGAATTCCTCACTTATTTAGACACAATTCTCCCTTTGGCTGAAACAGAACTCGATTTTGCTTTTGTGAACATCCAAGAGCCGAAAAATCATTTAAATGATCAGGGCATCTCACTAGCCATTAAATAGTATTCATCGGAACTTACTGTTATTGAACTCCTTTGAATTGTAAAAGTGTGAAAGTGACACATGTGCTAAGACTCTGACTATAAGGACTAAAGACAGCCCCCCCTCCTCCCCCCCCCCCCCCCCCCCACCCCCACCCCCCACCACCTCACCCCTTCCCGAGGGATAACCCACTATTCCACTGATACTTTTGTTATTATTGGAAATGAAATGCCAACAGTGCCATATCGATTGGAGACCTTAACGCTAGAACCAGAAAGCATAAAACAGACCACATTTTCTTGAAGGGCTATGGTTATTTTGATTACTATGTTATACCTGATGATTTATTCTGCGAACATGGTGAACATTTTCTGTTAGCTAATCTAGGAATACCTATTACGAGATACTCCCTGGATACGGGTAAAGTGAACAGCAATGGAAACAAACTTATAGCATCGTGCAAGATTACAGCATGTACAATGCAAACGGCAGTATAGGACACCAGTTTTACAGAGTGCTTGCTTCTATAAATGTATTTAAATGTAACTTCTATTTAATAGACCCGTGAAGATCCGGGGTAGAATAGGTCTTCAGCAACCCATGCCTGTGTAAAAGGCGACTATGCTTGTTGTAAGAGGCGACTAACGGGATCTTGTGGTCAGACTCACTGACTTGGTGTGATGCATGTCATCGTATCCCAATTGCGTGGATCGATGCTCATGGTGTCAATCACTGGATTGTCAGGCCCAGACTCGATTTTTTTACAGACAGCAGTCATATAGCTGGAATATTGCTGAGTGTGACGTTAAACAACAAACAAACAAACAAACTTATATTTAATAAGATAAATGAATGAGCCTTTGTTTTCATATATGTACCTGGTGGTAGAATCCTACATGGTGGTAGAAGCTTGGTACACCTTTTAATAGTCATAATAAGAACTAATGATTGTCAGGATGACAGAGAGGTTATCATAGAAAATGGGCCAGACCTTTTGCCAAGAACTAAGCAGATCACACAGATATTTCACACATTGAAATATTATGTCAGAAAATCAATATAAGAAATATCGCACATGACGTAAATGTAGAAAACGAGGTTGTCAATGTGTCAAGCAGTGTCGTTTTTAATAAAAGCCGTTATTTTTTTTGAACCCGTAAGGGTATTATTTAATCTAAATAACCTACTCAAAATCTGGTTTGAAAAAGAGTGTAAAATCGCGAGAGGTAAGTATCGACGGCCAGGGCAGCATATTATTAACATACATGCAAGGATGATAGTAATCTAATAATAGTCTCCTCAATGTAAGTAAAGTATAGAGAAAAGCTGTGTTAAGATATTAAACAATAAACATAGAACTAGTATGCAGACAATGTGCGACAGACCTTTTTCCTTTCTGGAAAATACTTTAGGGAGCTCAAAGTACCAGCAAGTTACCTCCCTTTGGGGATTTATACGACCACTTCTAGAAGATTAACAATGATGAGGATCATAAGTTTCATAACTCAAATACTATCACAGATTTGATTTTAGTGTTGACATTGAAAACAGTGATACTATATTAAATGCTGGAATATCCTCTCCTAAAATATTACAAGCTGTCCAGCAGCTTAAAAACAACAAGGCTTGGCACTGATTGTATATGTATACATCAAACATACTGTTGACAAACTGCTCTAGTCCATTAAACACACAATCACGCAGCGATTGGTCATTATTGAAATATAATCAGTGACCTGACTAAAAATACCAGTTTTGTACAATTTCATGTCCGACTAAAACTATGTTCTTCGTTGTTTTCATGTCATTTCGCGACCGCTGACATGATCCGGTTGTGGGGTAAGAACACTGACGATTTAACACATGGCAGATGATGAGGGAATGTCTCAAAGAATTATTGATTAAACACCTTCCCAGTAGCTGAAAGTCTGGACATTTAATACACAAGATGTACAGTTGTCGGAATGTTTGATGTATGCGACATCGTTGTGTTTAAATCAATAACGAAATGTGTAGAGATATCTCTCAGTACCCACTTGTCAAAACTGTCTCGCTTGAAGGTCATCTCAAGGTTTTGGATGACCACCTTTGGTCCGTCATCTAAAGGTTAGGGGGGCGTAATTCGGAATAAAGTCTTTTGAGGCATGGCAGTTGCATGCAATGTTCACTTGGTGAAACAACGAAGGGATATCAAAGGTGTTTCATTATTTGATTCACGTATAAAAAAGCATGAGACGTCACGAAAAATGACACGGGCATCCTTTGACAACATCTCTGCACAGAAGACTTGCCGCCTGTACCGATACTGTCGGTGTAGGGTGACCTAGGGTCATGCTGTGAGATACTGTCATTGTTGTGAGATGTGAAATCATCTGTTCTTACACCCACTTCAGGGTGAGGTGCCGTGAAATGGGGTTTAACGTCGCGTCCAAGATTATTGCACTTATATAGCGACGTGCGTGCGTGCGTGCGTGCGTGCGTGCGTGCGTGCGTGCGTGCGTGTGTGTGTTCACTAAGAAACCATGCCGCAGTTTAACATGAATACCCCATGACACAGTATACTGAGCCGACCAGATCCTTTTTTATCCCCTTAAATCCGAGCGGCGCCAGACTAGGAACAACAAGTACCATCTTTTAACGTCTGTTGGAATGATTGTTGTTGTTGTTTGTTGTTTAACGCCGCACTCAGCAATATTCCAGCTATATGACGGCCGTCTGTTAATAATTGAGTCTGGACCAGTCAATCCAGTGATTGATATCATGAGCATCAATCCACACAATTGGGATCAATGACATGCATCAACCAAGTCAGCGAGCCTGACCACCCGAACCCGTTAGTCGCCTTTTACGACAAGCATAGTCGCCTCTTGCGGCAAGCATGGGTTGCTGAAGATCTATTCTACCCCGGATCTTCACGGGTCCTGTTGCATTGGTATGAAGGCCGGGGATTGAGCTTCCGCTCTCCTGGCTGACGCTCTACCACAAGACCACGGAGGAGGTTCTCATTACAAGGCCATGTCAAGGGTCACAAAAATAACATGATACGAATGAAGAACACAGGTGAAATATTCCATTTTTAGTTCGGTCACTGATTATTATTCAATAGTAACCAACTTCCGTCGCTTGTTAGTGTTTTTAATGGACAATAATTGTGAAACACCGGGTGCAATAAATGGTGGTTGACTGGCTATAGAACAGTTACTTTATTTAACAAACTATTGCATACTGGATACATCCACGAACAATGGTCAAAGGAATCATCAAACATTATATATATGCATACAACATACCTACCGCTCTGTTGTCTAAGTAAACTCTTCACATCTATACTTAACATCAGATTGACTTTATTCTTAGATAGCACTGAAAGTGTGAAACACGAGTTGGATTTAGAAATGGTTACTTAACAACAGATTACATGTTTACTTAGATCTAATAAAAACACGTAAACAGAAACTATGGGGGGAGGGGCCCAGTCGTCTAAGGCGCCGCGATTCCCTGTGCAGAGTTGCGTCCCTTGGGCACGCCAGAAACCTATGATTGTGGGTTGGAATCCCGGTTCGCCCCGATTATGTTCCTAGGTTTGTCAGCACCATACCCGTGCTCGTGGGTTTCACCGAAGTGGTAAACGTCTAATACCTTCATCACTTCGGGCTTTCCTCCCACATTAAGCTGACACGCCGCGATATAACTGGAATACTGTTTAAAGCGGCGTTTAACCCAACTCACTCACTCACTCACTCACTCATGGGTTTTGTGTAATCCAGAAGCAACCACTAGGAAACCATAAGTAAGGCAGCACGGATAAGACTCGTGAAAGAGTTGTCATGAGTAGAATCTATACCAGAAAACTCAGCTTGTGTAAACACAATATACTGGGGGATTCAAATTGTATATCGTTTGTAGAAGTTCCCAATGCCATTCTTTCATCAGCCTTGCCAGATGGAACATCCTGTAGGCGCATTGCCATGGTGTTTGATGTTTATCGAGATGAATCAATCACGACTGCAGATTAAACCAATAGAGGATCCAAGCGTGGGATACTATTCAGGACCCCTGCATCTGGACATAGGTGGAAAGTTTTCCACCGTTGGACCCTGAGCCCAGAGAACAAGAATCAGCTGATTGAAGTCTTGTTACGGACTGGAGTGAAAATGACCTGAGAAGCAGACTGGCTGAGAAACAATTCTTTGTTGTCATGGGAGATGTTTGAAT